GTCAAAAGAACCTGAAGAGAATTCAGAATAAAGTGCAACAACAAAACAGAAGAACACTGACAGGGTGGGGGTTAGTCATTGGGTTATGGGAAAAAATGCAATGTCCTGGCCAGGGCCTCTTGGATCATTTTTTAAAAATCAGCCAGCAAAAACATAAGTGCAGATTATAAGTGAAAGATTAAAACCAAAATTACATGGGGTAAGCCAGATCCGGTGGCACCTGTAATCCCAATGGATTGAGGGGCTGAAGCAGGTGGATCTCGAGTTCAAAGCTAGACTCAACAAAACCCAGGTGCTAAGCAACCCAGTGAGCCCATCTCTAAATAAAAATACAAAACAGGGCTGGGGATGTGGCTCAGTGGTTGAGTGCCCCAGAGTTCAAACCCTGATACCCCGCCCCAAATTATATGGGATGACATAATTGCACTTATAATCAATAAGAATAAGCAACTTTGAATGTAAGTGAAGAATTTTTTTTTTCAGTTGTAGATGGACACAATACCTTTATTTATTTTTATATGGTGCTGAGGATCAAACCCAGTGCCTCACACGTGAAAGGGAGGCACTCTAACACTGAGCTATAGCCCCAGCCCAAGAAATATTTTAAAAAAGAAAATAAATAAGAAATGGGGCTGGGCATTAAGCTCAGCAGTATAGCATATACTCAGAAAGCATAGGGCCCCTTAATTTAATCCTACATCAAGCCAAAAAAAGGAGAAATGCATCAAAGCCTTAGTACTGTCTGTTGTAATGTTTTTGTGTATTTAGTTTAAGCACTGGTAACATCTGCAACAATTTATCAATCTTATAATTCCAATTTAATTTAGACTTGCTTGATTGTTTTTGTTTTGTTTTGTTTTGGTGCCAGGGATTGTATAGGCCCTTAACTACTGAGCCAAATCCCCATCCCTTTTTATTTTTAGACAGGGTCTCACTTAGGGACTGCTAAATTGCTGAGGCTGGCCTTGAACCTGCGACCCTCCTGCCACAGCCTTCCAAACTGCAGGGTTACAGGTATGCTGCAGTGCCCAGCTAGACTTGTGGTTTTAGATAGAGGTTTCATTAAATAGTACTGAAACATAAACATGTTAATATTTCAACAAAATATTAAATATTAAAATATTCACCTTATTTATAAAGTTTAATTTTTTAGATATCTACAAGATTTGCCTTAATATTTATAAAGGAAACAAATAATTGCTTTGGAAACCAAAGTATTTCATAAATACTAAAATATATTAAAGTTATTAAATTTCTGGTCTGTAAAAGGAATCATATATAAATCAAAGTCCTCTTTTTAAAAGATTGTTTAAACTTGTTGTGTTTATTTTAAAAATTAGACTTCTTTCCTTTTTTAAATAGATGGATCTATTTTATGCTAAATAAAAGAAAATAAATGTCTCCATCATTCAAAGTATTGATTTTTGTTCTATTTCTAATGGAGTTTCATAATGAAAACCACTCCTCTTACAAGTATCTCCTCTCCCAGATAAGCATTTTCAAAACAGGGATCATTTCTTATACTAATTTCTCTATAAAAACAGCTCACAAGGCAACCCTAACATATAGTAACTGTTGGTGGTTAATAAACAGAAATTCAGTAATTATCAGTTTGTTTTGAGATGCTCTATTACCTCTGTTACATCCCAATGGTGTAAAAACTGATCCAAGTCTGTAAGGTAGAGCAGCACAGGGGAAAGCTGTGTCTGGATGACATGAGGAACTCCTCGGAGGTTCTGAAGCCAAGTCAACTCTTCTTTTGAAAAGCCTAAAGCAGTTAAGAAAGAAAGCCATGTAAAAATAAATTAATTACAAAGCAGTAACAGTCTTCATAATTTTTGATAAACAGGTAACATGTACCTTCCAGCAAACCCTTCTTTAGTTTCTACATATCATATAATTATCTTAAGAAATGAACTTGTAGTAATGAGGCAGTTAAATTCACATAATTATGTGCTCTGACCCAAAGTAAAATATATACTTTTACTTAAAAAAATAAAATTTTTTGAAAAAGCAAATGAATGAGTAAAAATAACATACTTTTACAATGCCAAACATTACATTTCTTAGATAAAAGCCCTGTTTTAAAATGACTGTATCCCCCAAGTCTATTTTTTTGTTTCTTAACTGAACTCAGGGTCCTGCAGATGGACAATACATTTGTAGTTCCTTCAACTACACCTTAGTTAACAAAATTTTGATTTCTTTATCACCCCAGTACATTTGACCCAAGCTACACAGACAATGTGCCAAAGTAGCTGTTCTCAGAATGATTAAATACCACTGCCTAGATGTTCAGACCACTATCCTTCCATAAGTACACCCTGAAGAGGCATTATCTAAGTTTAATAGCCACATAACAGTACTAACTTTGAGTTTTGTAAAACTAAAAGCTTTTTGACGGGTAACTTTTATATAAATATATAAACATAAAATATAAATCCCTCCTACCTCAAATGTGCTCATCCAAAAAATATGAAATTAACACGTAGGAGTTAATTTTTAAAATAGTTATCTTAATAGATTCAACTTCATTCTGAAACCTGTCAAGTTCTTTCTGGATTTGGATAATAACTAATCCCCCTAATTTCAAGCATTTAGAAAATTTCAATCTCATCATTATCATCTAAGTATAAAAAGGTTAATATCGAAATAGCACAATTATTCAAAATGATAATAAGACAGCATTTCTACTCATTTTGCAATTTTTTTTTGAGGGTAAATGGAATATAGTATAAGAACTAATCAAAACCTGATATTATTATATCAAACTGAACATTTGAACATGTTTGGAAAGGAGATCTGTTATTTGCTGCATTTTTAAACCATGCAGTGGAATTTTCTCTGGCTAGTTGAAAAAGAGCCTATTATGTACAATTCACTATAAACAAGGATGAGAATAAAATTAAGAATAAAGACTAGGAAGGAGATGAAAATATAATCAGATGATTTTCAAATAACCCAAAGTGTTGGATATTTATGAGAGATTTGAGTCACTGAAGTTGAATCATGTACCACCTGCTTCAGGAACTTGATACTGCAGGGTACAAATATTCTTTCAAAGATTTTCACTTATAATAAAAATCCTTCTAAGACAGATTACTTATCATCTTCCATACTGGGAACCAAACAGATAAGACAGCAAATCTTAGAAGAATGAGGTTTTTTAATTTGTGACCTGGCAAGTAAAATGGGGTTACCTGTAAGTGTGGAAAATAAGAAGCTGAAATAGTCCACATCAGTTATCAACCAGTCTTTAACTGAATACTTCCATCCAGAAAGTGATGATCTATAAAAAACAATGGGAGAACTATTATCAGAAGTTCAATTTTCTTTTCAGGGGACCTAAGGGTCTTAGGGACTGAATCCACAGCCTCCTTATGCTCAGCTACTGAGCTAGAAACCACATCAAATCATTTTCCTTTAATAAGACTATTAATAGCTTAAAAGAAAACCCATAGTATATAATGTTTTTGTTTTGCTATTGGGTATTGAAGCCAGAGGCACTTTACCCAGTCCTTTTTATTTTGAAACAGGGTCTTGCTAAGTTGCTAAGGGTCTTACAAAATTGCTGAAGCTGGCTTCAAACTGGTAATCCACCTACCTCAGTCTCCCAGATAGCTGGAACTACAAGTTTGCATCACTACACCCAGCTATAATGTTTTAATTTTTTATAAAAGGGCTCAAGTCCTATAATATAAAAATTTTAAATTCTAACATTTTTATGTAAAGTTTCATTAAAAAGCACAAATGATTCAAATATATGGTATAGCAGAAAACTTCCACCACATTCCAAAACTAAACTCCAAAGAGCCAAAATGAAGTTTTGCTTTTTCAGCACTAGTTCTATCACTATGTACTTACTATTTGATTTTTATAAAGTCTAACATTCAGCAAATGAGTTATGTTTAATCAAGTTCCAGCTTCCTACCTAAGCAAAAGTAAAGACAACTATGTGTTTCTCCTCCTCTTCTTTTTTTTTTTTTTTTAGAGAGAGAGAAAATTTTTAACATTCATTTTTCAGTTCTCGGCGGACACAACATCTTTGTATGTGGTGCTGAGGATCGAACCCTGGCCGCACGCATGCTAGGTAGCACTACGAGTGGTAGCGCTACGAGTGGTAGCGCGCTCGCCTGGCATGCAAGCAGCCCGGGTTCACTTGAGCCACATCCCCAGCCCTGTGTTTCTCAAAATCTATTTCACTATAGTGCAGCTAAGATGTTGGCTAAGGACTTAAGGGAATAACTAAATGTAAAGCAGCCTTTCATTAAATGAGGATTACAATTCCTGCTGAGATGAGTTTCCAGTAACTTCCTTCAAGGAAAGGCTAGAATGAGAGCAAACATCAATCACAGAAATAGCAAAAAGGGAAATGATCAGATCCAAAAAACTGAGCTTACAAATTCTGAATGTGATAAAGTTAGGAGTTTCTAATTCACCAATAAGCACTTAATAATTTTTTACTATCATAATAACTCCATCATGTTTATTAATGGTCTTAAATTTGGAGGGTTAAAATTAAAAAAACTTTTTTTGAGTATCATATGCAGGCAACAAGTGAAGATTTATGGAAGAAATATCACAATCTAAAAGGTCATAGAAAGCCACAGTTGCCCTATAGAAAGGAGTTCAAAAGAATGGTTAGAAAATATTCTTCTGAACCCAGTAAATATAGGAAGCAATTGTGCCACCCAGTGGCTAAAAGAAGAAAATACATTTAAGTTTTTTAGGGGGAAAATGACAAGTGTTTACATCAACACTGTTTTTAAAACTATGATGATCATATACATTGTACAAGGCAGAACACTTATGAAAAGAGAGAGGAATGCTATTACTAACTATGCAAGAGCAAAAGAGGTAAACTGAAACAGTTGCTGGCAGGCCAGGTTGTATGTTCACCCTACTTAAAACCCAAGCCAAATTTTCTTAGTCCAAACAATTTCTTTATATAACATTTCAAATTATTTTCAATATTTATGCTTTATATTTCCCTAATCCAGCTGTAAACAAATCAGAAGCAGAAAGGAAAGAACTTGCTATGATCATGGAACAACACAAGGTAGGCATCAGAACAAATATTGTCACCATAGTTTAAAAGACAGTGTGATAATAGTTTGTCATTTGTCCCCAAAGAGACACTTAAAATGAATTTGCTGCTGTTTAGCCATAGGATGGTACAAGTGATAGCTTTTATAAAAAAATTTTTAATTATTTTTTTTAGTTGTAGGTGAACACAATACCTTTATTTATTTATATGTGGTGTTGAGGATTGAACCCAGGGCCTCACACACGCTAAGCAAGTGCTCTACTGCTGAGCCACAACCCCAGCCCATGATTGTTTTTTTTGTTTTTAAACTGGGTTCAAGAGCCTATTAGTTTGTTTTCAAACTACTTCTGAACACCTTAGTGAGCATGCAGTAGAATGATATGCAAAAAAAAAAATAAAATTCTAAGAAAACATAAATGGGTTGGTAAAAAGGTAGGGACAGCAAATCCAAGTATACTTCTCAAGAGAAAATAAACATGAATGATTTCTAGCTGATGGGTTTTTCATACATGGAACACTCAAGTTGTATCCTGCTTTCAATAAACATTTCTGATAGAGACAGGGGGTCTTAAGAACTACAAAAATTTGAGTTAACTTTAATCTCATGGCTCAATTAATGTAACAAAATCAAAATAAGAAATAACTGCCAGAAGCGATGACACACATCTATAATCTCAGTGACTCAGGGGGGCTGAGGCAGAAGGATAAGTTCCAGTCCACCTTTGTCAACTTAGTTGAAACCCTGTCTCAAAATAAAAAATAGAAAGGTCTGGGAATTGAGCTCATTGGTAAAGCACCCTGAGTTTAATCCCCAGTAACCTCTCCCCACCCCAACAAAAAAATTTCAGAAATGATTAAAGTTACATTTCACAGAAATTAATTTGACATCAGTACAGGTAGGAGGAGAAAATGAAAGTCAAGGATAAAAGGGAATATTCTGAAAGATATGAAGTGACCCAAAATGTCTAAGGAACCAAACATGAGTCTTAAATTCTGACCCTACTTGAAAAGTCATATAATGCCAAGTCTAGGAAAGTTAAAAAACCTTAATTTTATATTTTTTTCAAAAAGAAATTACTCTAAACAGGAATATTACATCTACAGATAAATCTACTAATGGACTCTACAAACCACTAAAAAGCAAAACTCAAGTTTGGTAAAGTTTTAACTACAAAACCAGTCAGCTTTGCATGTATGTATGCCAAGGCAGCTCATATATGCTAAACATACACTTTGCCACTGAGCTACACCTCCTACAACCCAATCTGCTTTTATTTTATTTTTTTAAATATTTTTTTAGTTGTAAATGGACACAAAACCTTTATTTATTTTTATGTGTGCTGAGGATCAAATCCAGTGTTTCACGCATGCTAGGCAAGCGCTCTACCACTGAGCCACAAACCCAGATTATGAGTCCTTATTATCAATATGTATTTTCCCAATACTCATTACAAATCCCCAGCCCCCCCCAAAAAAGTGAATCATATCCGACATTGATAAATATATTAAATGCAGTTTCCAAAGTAAATTAATTTCAACTATGGTTCAAAAGGTGGGTCTTAACTGGCTGATTAAATTTATACCTAAGGTAGAGAGTGCCCTCCACTGGAAGTTAGTAAATACAAAGCCACCTCAGATTTAGAAAAATATGGGAAATTAATCAATTTTTAAAATACTTAAAAATGACTAAGTCTAACACATATACAGAGAAGAAATAAACCTTGAACTTTCATATATAAACAACATATTACTAATAACTCTCATCTGCTAGAAGGAAAGGTATAGTCAGTTATGTAGCACACTTTTAGTAACTAGTCAAATATTTGTCCTATATTGTATGAAAAGACTGACAAAGTTTATTAAAAGGAGCCACAACTACCAATAAATATTGATGGATATGAATACCAAATTACTCTGTTACAAACATGAAGTGTTTAAGGATTCTTTCAACACTGGCAATTTGAAATTATTACAAAAACTTTTCAGAATAAAATGCCCAGTCACTATAAAAAATGGCATAACAATTCCTCAAAAATCTAAATAAATGAGATGGGGGTATAGTGGCAGAGCACTTGACTGGCATGCATTAATCACTGGATTAATCCCCAGCACCAAAAAATAATAAATAAAAACACAGTATTACCATATGATCCAGCAATTTAATCTCTAGATATATGGCCAAAAATTGAAAGAGTGGCCTCAAAAAGATATTTGTATACCAATGTGCATTAGAAACATTACTCTAATTAGCCAAAAGATGGGAAAAAAACCAGATTTCTATCAAAAGATGAATGGCAGGGCTGGGGCTATAGCTCAGTGGTAGTGCACTTGCAAGCGTGAGGCACTAGGTTCAATCCTTAGCAGAACATAAATAAATAAAACAAAGGTACTGTGTCTATCTACAACTAAGAAAAAAAAATTTAAGGATAAACAAAATTCAGTAATACACACACAAACACACACACACACACACAAAATACAATATCACTCAGCCTTAAACTTAAATAAAATTTAAGCACATATCTGTAATCACAAGAGAGGCTAAGGCAGAACAATTTCTAAGCCAGCCTCAGCAATTTAGACCCTCCAACAACTTAGTAAGACCCTATCTCAAAACTAAAAATAAAAAATAAAGGTGGTGGGGAGGAAAGGACATAACTCAGTGATAGAGCACCCTTAAGATCAATCTCAAGGGCAAGGTGCAAAAAAGCCAGTCATAAAAAGAAAAACAATATGCAGTATCCACAGTGATAAAAATTAAAAAGACAAAATAGTCATTAGGAGGAGTTGGGGGGTGAGACATGGAAGAAATAGGGAGGAATTGTTTAGTGGGTAGTATTTTAGTTTGAGATGAATTAATAATTCTGTAAAATACCAATATAGCCACAAAATATTAAAATGGTAAATTTTATGCTATGTATGTATATTTTACTACAAAAAGAGAGACTTTAAGTAATTCCTGATCTGAGTCCACAAGCTTATTTAATTCAGCAGCTAATTAAATTCTGAATTCCCAGAAAGTCTAGGTGACAATTTCCTAACCCCTAAGATTTTATGCAGAGTACTCACACCTTCATGCTTTTGATTGAATTTCAACCCTCATTCTAATCTAGCTATATAAATCATGAGACATAAACATGAAGCAGTTTTACAGTAGGCAAATTTTCCTCAGCTAATAAATGTTAACAGAGTTGCAATTATATCAAATATGAGTAGTAGCAATATGTGGCTTTAAAAGCCTTCTGTATTGTACCAGTTTCCAGTAAGAGGAAGAGGGGGGGAAAGATTATACACTTAAAATATAGCTCATTTGAACAAGATACCTCATGTGCAGTATCCCAATAAGCATAGCCGACAAACTTGAACTGAGTCTTCCCATAATACAGCAACGACTTAATCGAGAAAGCAAATCAGTAGGTAGACTGGGTAGAAAATATACAAGCTGAACCAAACGTTTCTGAGACTCTGCAGGGAGAACGACCACAGTGCCTTCTTGTGGATCTAGTGGGGTAGGTAAAAATATTAAATTCAGCTATACAATATATACAAACTGCAGATTAAAGCATGTTGATGGCTTTTATTGAATCACAGGCTGACAAATTATGTTGAAGTTCATTCATATCAATTACATACAAAAATTTTATCATAAATCATTTATCTATGGCTTGTTAAGCTATTTCCTGAAGTAAAACAGTGAACATTATAATCATGTATTCAAAATTTATTTATTTATTGAGCACTATAATAATTTCACAATATCTAAGTGTTCTGTTAGAAATAAGAACTTTGATGGGAGTGAAAAGGAAACAAGACTGAGCACAAAGCATAACAATGAAAAACAAGCAATTTAGCTGAACAGTGAAAATTACAATATCAACCTAATTTAAGGTAAAAGACCTGATTGTCTGCTCCATGTGAGTATATATCTATGTACCTATACATATATGTACAATATTTTAAAATATAATCCATGGTCCATGTATGGTGGCATATGCCTGTAATTCCAGTGACTCAGGAGGAGACTAAGGTAGGAAGACAGCAAGCTCAGCAACTTAACAAGATCCAATCTCAAAACAAAAAGGATGTATAGTTCAGTGATTAAGCCCCTGGGCTTAACCCTCATCACCCCCCAAATTTTTTTTAGAAGTTATAGAAAAATATTAAAACATATAAATATATAACATAAAATACATTAAAATTCTTAATATATGACCCACAAAAGGTGGAAACCACCCAAATATCCATCACTTTTGATATGTACAAGTGGTATATGAGTAAAGGGAATATCATTTAACTGTAAAAAGGAATAAAGTACTGATACTTGTTGTAAGACTGATGAACCTTGAAATATAATACTAAGGGAAAGAAGCTAGACATAAGAGGCCTTGTATTATATAATTCTGCTTATACAAAATGTCCAAAATAGACAATTCCATAAAAATACAAAGTAGATTAGTAGTTGCCAAAGACTGGGGGAGAGAGAATCTTAGGAACAATTACTGAGTACAGAGTATTTTTTTAGGGTGATGAAAATGTTCTAGAATTAAATAGTGGTGACAACTGTACAATCTTTGGAATATATTTAAAAACCACTGAAGTATATATTGTAAATTGGTAGATTTTATCATTATGTCTCAATAAATTATGTGAATCAATCTCAATAAACAAACACAAACTATATGCACATGTATATACACATGTATATTCATGTATTTTAGTCATATTTTTTGCTTAAAATATTAAACACTTAAGTCAGTTCCAGGGATGAATACTAAAGTAAAAATATAAAGAAGTCATACAATATATTCATTATAAGTAATGAAGGTATTATAGTGCCATTAAAGCTTCAAAGGAATTTCTTAAGTCTCTTATTAGTTTTGAATTTATAAATAGGAAGTGGTTTCAAAGATACACAAAAAACATTGGCAGCTAGGCTCAGTGGCACCTGCTTGTAATCCCAAAGGATCAAGAAGCTGAGGCAGGAGGATCTCAAGTTCAAAGCCAACCTCAGT